CAAAAAAATGAACTATGGATATTTTCCTTAGATTTTTAAAAAAGAAGGGGAAGTGGTGCAGGAGATTGTCTGTATTCTGTCAATCATGTTTTAAATAAACACTGATTGGCCAGGCAGGAGGTATAGGTGGGAAAACCAGACAGGAAGTGGAAATGACCAGGAGAATTCTGGGGAGGAGGAAGTTGATTCTTCCCACTTCTGCCCAGATCATCAAAGCAGCAGGATGTGAGCTGCCCCACTGAAAATGGTACTGAGCCACGTGGCTAACATAGATCAGAAAAATGGGTTAATCAAGATGTGAGAGTAAGCCAGTAAGAGGCTAGACCTAATGAGCCAATCAGCTTTGTAACTCATAGGGAGTTCTGTGTGATTTTTCTCTGGGACTAAACAGCTGGGGGAACCGGGCAGGACAAAAACACAAACAAACAGGCCCTACTCATGTTACAAACCATCAGTGTGATAGTGGGACAAAACCAGTTCAGGTACCCTCTACTCTGCTGCCCAAGGACATAGCTGGAGACATCTCTGTGGACACCTGGGATTCCATCTAGAGCAAAGTCTCTAACCAACCTTAATGTAGATATCTTCTTCCCTACTACTATATCTGCCCTTCCTCAATATCCACCCTCCCACTCCCCCAAGCTCTTTCCAGTCTTTACTTTCTTCCTTCTCTCTCCCCCTCTCCTCTTCCGCAACACCACTCCCAGCCCTACCCCCACCCCCATACTCCCAACTTTTGCCCAGCAATCTTGTTTGCTTTCAATTTCCAGGAGGATCTATATATGTTTCTCTTTGGGTTCACCTTGATATTTGTCTTCTCTAGGATTATGAACTATAGGCTTAATGTCTTTTGTTTATTGTTAGAGTCTACTAATGAGTGGACATACCATGTTCATCTTTTTGCATCTGGGTTATCTCACTTAGGATAGTGTTTTCTATTTCCATCAGTATGCATGGAAAATTCAAAATGTCATTATTTTTTATCACTGAGTAGTACTATAAAGTGTACATATTCCACACTTTTGTTATCTATTCTTCCATTGAGGGGCATCTAGATTGTTTCCTGGATCTGGCAATTGCAAATAATGCTGCTATGAACACACTTGAACAAATGCTTTTGTAGTATGTTGGGACAAATCTTGGGTATATTCTCAAGAGTGGCATTGCTGGATCTTGAGGTAGATTGATTTCCAATTTCCTGAGAAACCACAACACTGATTTTCAAAGTGCTTGCACAAGTTTGGACTGGGAGGTGTTGGTCTACCCACTGAGACAGTGTGCCTGTTCTAATGGAAGCTCAACAAATTCAGTTGGACCAGTACTGAATGAGCATGCATTCAAACCGGACTCTCTGAATGTGACTGAAAATGGCGGCTTGCGACGGACTGGCTCAGGGGAGCCACTCAGACCGTGAGGGAATCAGGGCGAAGGACGGAAGATTTCAGGATACGGCAGAGGAATGACAGACAGACCATTCTCAATGTATTTTTGAAAATGCTGCTGCGTTTTACTTATTCAGTGTGAGGTTTTTATATTATTACAAACAAAGAACTTCGCAAAGGCGTACATCATCAGATCATAAAAAAAAAGCATAGAATAGTTTACAAAAAGAATCTTTAAAATGCTTTGACTTGGGACAAGGACTTTCTCTCAGTCTGTACCAGGCGGCTGGCAGGGCTAAGTGACCTTGTGCTCAGAATATCTTGGGGTGTGAGAGGAGAAGGCCACTATCTTCCTGGGAAAACTTTCTGCTAGGAAATTTTAGACATGATCTCAAACTTGTCTGAATCTGGTTTCATACCATAAATCTCAACTTTCTTCCCTCCCCGACTCTCAGGGTCAGATGTTGTAATTAGCCTAGGTTTATTCTGGCCATAATGAAGGCTGCATAGGCCTCCTGCACGTAATTCTCAGGCAAACATCTAGTGTTGCTGCAGCTGTTTTCCTGCAGAAGGCTTCTAAGGTTTCTCCTGATAAGAGCAACTCCTTTTGCTCCACATCACTAAAGAATTATTTTAATGATGACTTCCCTATTTCCAGAACTAGTTATTTCTTTAAAGGCTTTAATGAATAGGGGTGCAAAACTCAAAAATGTTTTCAGCAGTCTTGTTTGTATCTGCAACTGCCTGGAATAGTCTGATCTGTAAGCATTATGCAAGGATCACAAAGAACACACAGACAAGGGAAAAGACAGACATATAGCACCAAGTACAGTCAGGTTGAGTCAATACAAATGGCAACTCAGGTAGCATTACACCACAACTGATTGCCAAGGGACAGCCCAGGACTCAACTCCGAGAAGCGCGGATCCTGATCCTTCCGGCAATATTTGCCCATCCAGTCAGCATTTCTGCTACACTGGCGAGACAGCCGTAGGTGTAGCAGGGGCTGACTGAAAAGCCATTGATAAAGGCACTGGGACTTATTTCTACTGCATTTACTGGCTTTTGGGGACCCTAGTCTATTTGGATGCAAAGCTTCCTAGGCCTGGATGTAGGGGAGAGGGCCTTGAACTTCCCACAGGACAGGATTCCCTACCCTCTCTTAATGAGGAAGAAAGAGGGAGGATTGTGAGTAGAGGAGCATGAGGGGACTGGGAAGAGGGGAGGAAGTTTAAATTTTTGAATGGAAAATAAATAAATGAATAAATAAAAAAGAACTTTTATGCCATTTGAAGGCTTGACAGCTTAGAAAGCAACTTCTGATAGTAAAAGTAGTAGTCATTTTCCTTTTACCTCTAAAGTGTGGTCAATTATAAGTAAGAAGCAATTTAAGACCAAGGTGCCAGCACTAAACATGAATATATAATACAAACAATAAATGGACTCAGTTGGGCCATAAATTTCTCTGTCAATCCCCTCTCTCTAAACACACACATGCACACATGTACACACATACTCACATTCACAAATACTTTCAAATAAATATGTATATTCATGAATAAGTTGGAAAAATTGGAGGAAGATGTGGGGGAAAAGTATAGTAGTAATTATTTTGAGATTGAGTTGAAGTGATATAAATGTACATTGAATATCCAGAATTTTTATCAAGCATTAGTCAAGTATTTGTTCTGAAAACTTTTTTGTTTTACAAGACACACAAGGAAATATTAAATCACAGGTTTTTTAATAAGAAAATATTTCCTTGTTTCTTATTCATATCTGTTGCCTATGTGTATTTAATGTACTTTGATTTTGTTATAGCTTTAGATGAGAGACTGGATATAGCAACATTGTCTAATATCTTTTCTTTTTCCTTATTCTAATCCCTTAAAAAAAGATCGCATGGTCTTTTCTAGTTGATAGCTAACTTCATTATAAGGGATAATTGTATAACAAAGAGAAAATTGAAATAAATATTTGTATATTTATAGTGATTGGTATATATGGAATCCATTATCATGAATTTATTCTTTAAGTGAGAATGACACGTATGAACACAATTTAAGAATATCCTGATTCTTTTGCTTACTGAAGTCAATTAACAAGAGATAATCTCCTTATACGAACTATTGAAAATGCATTTCATCCTTTGTTTTAAATAATGTGCAACATGGAGGCAGAAACAATGAGTTTGTTATGTGAAATATTTTAAAGGGTTATGACCATTTATCTGCAAATAACTAATTGTCAGCTGAAGGTAAATAAGAGCACACCATACAATTCACTTCTGCAAAGTTCTTGTTTTTGGCTCTCCAGTAATTGTAAAGGTTCCAATTATTACAATAAGTTTTAGTAATACAGATATCATTTGTTTCAACAGAGTGATGATTTTAATCAGCTATTGAAGGTTTATATTTTTAAAATAAGATTCTTTTCACAAAGTCCTTATTGCTTCTTGAAACCTTTTATTTAATCATTCAAAAAAAGAACAGCTCATATATCATAAGAAGAGAAAAAAATGGTAAGTCAGAAATTTGGAATGTTGCATCCTGAATTCACAGGCAAGGGGAAAGTTGATTTAGAAAGAAATGGTGATTTGTATGTTATACTGATTCCATGCTCAAAAGGATATGATGCATAATTCTTATCTTGTTGTTATCTGTGCAGACATAAAACCAAAAATTAAGATTGGTTGACCAGACAATAAAATTTTCACCATTGTATGAATACAAAATTAAATATAACAATATAGAATATAGAGAAGGGATTGAACATGAACAGTTCCTTTCCTAGAAATCACCAATATATTGTGCTTTGGATTCTCTAGGAGCACTGTTGACAGGAAATAATGACATTCTTTAGCCTTACATGACTATTTATATTGAGAGATTTCAAGGAATATACTGAAAACATCAATCTGAATGTACCTTATCTGTGACAAATCATATCCCACAATCATAAATAAAGTAAGATTTTTCAAATGTGGAAACACAGTTTTTTGATGGAATATATCTCGATATAGAAAATTTAGCAATTCTGAATAAGATAAATGTCATTCAAAGTGTTTTATAAATAAAAATATGCTATCCTTCCTTTCAAATTAAGATTTTCAGTTTTAAAAGACAAATAATAAACTGTCTAGATTTGACATTCATTTTTCTTTGGTCACACACTTATCTCTAATTTTTTAATGTAATCATAACAAATCCATTCAGATATCAAGATGATTAGGTATGGCTTCTGTTTCTACTCACCTACAGAAGGTCATTATTTAGGACAAGTATCTGTAAAAAAAACATAAATGGGGTAAAGATCAATAGAAATGCTCTCATACGAATATTAGAACAGGTCCCCAGGGTCTGTTGCTGGAAATAACAACTGAAAGATAGCATATGGCTAGATATAATCTGATTTAGGGATCTTACTGACTAGATAGGTAGATACATTGCTGATGGATAGATAGATACAGAGATAGACACTTGGACAGACAGACAGAAAGACTCAGTATATAAATATACATGTATTTATGAATATACAGTATTATATACACACATATATGTATGTATGTATGTATAAACATATATAAATGCTATGGATAAAAATATTCATTGTGGTTACCTGTAGCCAGAACATCTCGAATGTTTTCTGGTGGAATGCTACGTTCCTCAGCATATGTCTCAAGTCTCTCATGTTGCTCAGGAGTCAAGGGTTGACCTTTCCCTACATTGCAGGAATGACAATGTCAGAGACATGTTCAGTAGAATTCTGGAGAATTTACATTGTGCCCTTAGCATCCCACCATAATATATAGTAAAAATCTCAACTGTTCCAAATTCATTTACACTTGGTGAGTCAATATAGGCAATAAAATTTTTCACAAGTTTCACAGACACTTTAAACAAAGTCTAAATGTTGGTATGACATCACTTTTCAGGGTTTCATAATGCTTAAAAAAATTAAAAAAGAACCTTATGTAGAGAATTGACTCATCACAGTCCTGTCCACTTTCAAAAACAACACTGGAGAGTCATACCTGTCAATGGAACCTTCACATTTCTCCCGAATCTATACTTTAGAATTGGTGTTTTAATTTAGTACACACTTGATCAAATGACACTCAAAATGGTCTGAATTTGGGGAACATAATATGTACTCTATTCTTTTCAGTAAGGAAACATGGAAAATAAACTCTTCCAATAGCTTTCCCCCATTGCCCCTAGTAATCAATGACCATGCTACTTGAATTACAATATAATGTAACAGTTGGCCCATAAAACAAACAGACTGTCATTTAGTAGACAGGAGTTTGAAAATACCATGATGCTGTATTTGGTCAGTGAATCTGACTTAATACTCATTTACAGGTTTATACTTTCATTACTATTTCAAAGAATCCACTATCATTCTTACCAAGAACAAAAATCAATTTTGTTTTCCGGCTGGCTCTATCCACATTTTCACCAGCAAAAAATATGATGTCTTCTGTTGCAAACAGAGGTTTAAATACATTATCACCTTCAACTGCAATAAATACACATTTCAAAGCTTAGTGTCATTCATTTTTCTGCTTTGTTTGACATCATCTGTTGACAAAACATTAATATTGACCCTGACTCTAGCCTTATCACTATCACCTGACACAGGTGGGCAAAGGTATTCTTGTAGTCATTCATTTTACATATCCCATCATAATGCAGTGACAAATCATTTCCACTCTTTAAACCTAATAATGAATCCTAGGTCCATATACTTTTCCTTTTTTTCTGACTTCTTTGTGTCAAGATATGTAGGATCATTCTTTTGGTTGTTCCTTCCCATTTCAATCAGATCCAAAAGGCCACGTGTTGATTTCCTGAAAGTTAAAACTTTGGTGTCATACTATAATAAGACCTGGTGAGCAAATAGCTAAATATGCAAAAAGAGACTGTACTCATTAGAAATGTGAAAAACAGTTTTCTTCTTGTAAGATTATAGATGTAAAATGTAAGAATGAATATTTTAAGTTTACTAGACATTCATATTGTGTGTGAGTCAATCGTTCTATGTATGTTTCTGTGTGCGTATGCCTCCCTTTCTCTCTCTTAGTCTCTCTCACTATCTCTCTTTCTGTTGTGTGTGCATTAATGTGTGTGTGTGTGTGTGTGTATGTGTGTGTGTATGTATGACAATTCCACTTGCAGACACTGAATGATAAAAAAGTTCACAGGAAAATAAATGGATTTAAGTATTTGATCATTTTCTATTATGTGACTGCTTTTTAATATCTATGTAAGATTAGCAAAGCATTATTTTTGCCAGAATAATGTACCTTCTCTTCATTTAAATTCAACAAATAGTTATACTGTATATAATTCAGTCGAAAAGTGTTGCTATTATTTTAGCAATTGTTTTTCAAAATTGAGGTAGTCAGTTTGAAATTCTTAATCTGATTTTCCTCTAACTTCTTTTCAAAAGTGAATTTTATCATCCAATGGTCTGAATGTTATGATTTTTACAAAATATAAGAAAAGGAAACTTTAAAATAGCACTGTTAATTTAAATTATCTGTGAATACAGGATGATAGATAATCACTATAATATAAGTACTTGATAGCCTGAATCATGAAGTTTGCAAAGATGTTTGAGGTCTCACTATTAATAATAGGTCACTCTATTAAGGAGTGGCAGGCCTGTCCAATAACAATCTGAGATACTGTATGAAAGAAAGGACACTGAATATTGTCTAGAAACAAATTTTCATGCAAGAAACTATTTGGAGACATTTTGTTAGCATACCTCAGTTGGTTGGAAGAATTGATAACTTCCTAGTAACCAAAATTGTTCTAGGACCATGTACCCATGGGTGGTTGATGTGTCAACATGGATGTGCTCACCCACAATGCTTTAATTCATAGAGGAACCTCCCAGACTCCAAACATACTTACACTGGGATCTGTAGTTACCGTCTTCTTGCCTATATGCAGTGATTTTGGTCTGTGAACATTGGTTATTTGCACTGAGAATCAAACAGAGGAATCATGGCTTACTATTTTTATTCTGTGAATTCATATTAAATATCTTCAGGTTTTAAAGAACTTGAGATACTTTAATATCTATGACAGCATTCAGAGCTAGAGGAGACAAATCTCTTTTTATCTCACTTTTCATAATTCTTGTTTAGAAAATACCATTCTGTTTATTATCATACCTAGGAATTGCTTGATTTGTGGCATTCTTTCCAAGTGCTATGAAGACTCTATTTTCTTCCTTGTCCAAATTTCTCTATTCACTGAGTATAATTTTCAATATGTTAATTCTTCTTTTTAAGACCAACAATTATATATACATAGGATTTTATGAATGTAGTTCAAATGCTTTTATATTTAACCTAAAATTACGACTGTGACGAGAACAAATTCATGATTCTAAGTATTTTAGTTATTACAGTCCAATGCACTCTTTAATTGATAATTGTTATCTGAATGTCAGAAAGAAAATTTTTGAACTAGAGCATCAGAGACAAGCTCCCAGCAGCTCAAATCAAATATAATCATACAGAAACTATATTATTTAAATCATTGCTTGGTCAATCATTTAAGCATATTGCTAGCTAGCTTTTACATGTAGAATCAACCCATTCAGCAATTTATATTTTACCAAAAGGCTTGTGGCATACTGGCAATGTTCCAGCTTGCAATTTATGTCTTTCCCCACTGGCATCTTTCTGACTATTACTTCTTTCTCCCAGCATTCAGCTTAGTTTTCCCACACCTAGCTCTACTCTGTCCTATCAAATGAAAAATATTTATTCTTTATTCATTAACTAATAAAATAATATATAAAGAGAAAGATTTAAAACAGCAGACCTAGATTTGCAAATTAGATTTTTCTGACCTGTTTGTGGAAGAATTTTTTTATGACATCCTGCTTGTGGAAGAATTTTTTTATGACATAATGGCTAAATAATATAAAATAATATAATATGCATGACTTTAACCCAAATGCTCACACCTACCTTTTGACTTGCTAGAAGAGAGATCTTTAGAGTCTCATGATTCTAATATTAGAGAATAAAATTCAGCCATAACCCTCTAGTCACAAGGATTTCTCAGGAAACACTCATAGAATTGGAGACAGATTTAGCTTTCATGTGGTGCCCAGATCTAACCCATCATGGAATGACATAATCACATTTCTGAAGATGAGATTTTTAGTTTCCTGATCATAAACACAACATTCTCCTGTAAATTTAACAACATAAAAATCTGTGAAACGTAAATAGTCTGCTCAAGTTACACCACTGACAATTAGCTTACTTGACATAAAGTATGATTTCCATTTGACTGCATTCCTCATTACAAGTAAGTTCACGAAAGTAGAATCTCAAAGGTCCTCCTTCCTCTATCTTATCCACATTGTCAGCAGCACCGGCAATGGTAATCCACTTTCCTTCAAGCTGAACAAACCACAAATGCCACTGGAATATGAGTTGATACTCACACCTCTGATCCCAATCTTTGGAAATATGTAAAATAACTAAACATACAATGAATAGTAGTTTATTAGTTCAAAATTGTTCTTCTAGGGATGAAGAATAATAAATGGGTAATATGATAACTCAATTTACATAGCATTTTAAACCTGAGACTTTTAAGAACTACTCATATTTTGGTCTCCTATGCTCTGCAAATTCAACTCATTGCTTTCTTAGTTTATTTGTTTCATTTTTGAGAGATCTGACTGGAAAAGTGTAACTGAGTTAAAGTCAGAAAGGTTATTTTATGAATACGGACTTGCATGGACAAACTGAATGACACAACACATCCAAAACAGTAAGCTATTGATGAACATTAAACCTATTTACAGACCAAATGAATTTACCTCAGCTTGAGCATGAGTCAGATCAAATGCCAAAGTCAGCAGTAGAAACGTTACCATGGTGGTGCCTGCCTTCACTCTTCTGCAGATTCTCAAAATAGGATATTGGTTGTGAAGAAACTGAACTCATATAAGTTTTTATATAGTTAGTTAGAGGGAATTTCATGGAAACAACCAATGATTCTGCACCACAACAACCAGCTTATTTCCTGTATTTCTACTTTGACCCCGCATTGTGCCATATGATCTCATATCCTTAAACTAATAAGATTAAGCTAAAGGTCAGGGTCGGTTGGGGTGATTAATTGAGCATTCCTGCCAGGAAGAAAGATCTATCCCTGCGAGAACATTTAAGTGATCATTTTGCCTTCAAAACTATACTGGTGGGTAAAGGTCACAATGCATATGCATATGTCATACATGAGTCATTTAAAACCATGGCATCTGCTTTAAAATATATCCTGAAACTAAACATAATACTGTGCAGTTAAATTAATTTAAAATTGTGGCCTGAGCTATATGAGCCAAAGCAACAACACTATTAGAAGAAAAGATGTTAAAACTTGACAAGGATTTCCTATAAAGATATTGATAAATCCTGTGCTACCTTTAAGTATTGCAATATATTGACTACTTTATTCTTCCAGTAGACTGAATTCAAAAGCTATGGCACAAAGCTACAAGAGATATTTAAAAAAGCTAACTGCATAAATAATAGAAAAAAGCTACTAGATGTCTACTGTCAATATGTACAAATATCATTTATCAAAAGAAAGCAAATTAAGTAAAATAGTCTATAAAATTAATGACATTCAGAAAACCTGTGCAATGTGAAAATGGGCTCTGCATTCAAGTTCAAAATATGCTTACATTTCCTATAGCAAGGAACCTCTGCCCAGTTGACATCTTTATACATCAAAACCAAGGTCTGTTTTGTGCTTAGACATAAGATCTTGTCATTCTTTTCTAGGAACAACCAAGCATATCAGAACTCTGCAGAACTTGTTTTTTCCTTTGAGGCTTCATTCTCTGACACATGGAATAACCTAAGGCTAGTACTTTGGCATTTTCAGTTGACAACTCATGATTACTAACTTCACCATTAAAATAAATTAATCAGTCCTGGTGTGGGAGGTCCTGTCTGTTTGTTGCTTTTCTTTGTTAATGAATAAAGAAAGTTCTTTGGCCTGTTGATATGGCTGAAATTAGGTTTGTGGGGAAGATAGAACTGAACGCTGGGAAAAGGAAAGTCAGGGAGACACCATGAATCCATGGCTGAAGGTAGATGTGCTGAAATTTTGCTGGTAGACCATGACCTCTTGTTGATATGCAGATTAATTGAAATGGGTTAAATTATGTTGTAAGAGTTAGGCAATAAGAAGCTAGAGCTAATGGAACAAGCAGTGATTTGATGTAAATAGTTTCTGTGTGATTATTTTGGGGCTGGGCAGGCAAGACAAACAAGTGATCTCTTTGTGACTATGGGCATCCATGTGGCCAACTAAATCCACATAAACCCTGAGAAGTTTTGAAAATGAATCCTAGATAAATTATAATACACAGTTTAATACAGATTCTTGCTTTTTGCTGGCAGTGTGCTGCAGCTCCATTAAGATTGGTTTTCCTGATTTAGCTATTGAAGGAAAAAAGCTGGGCCATTTTGAAATGCCAACTTTCTGTGTTGTTCTGTCAGTGTGACCTCTGGATCTTTCAGGCAGAAGGCCCCACTACAGAGCATTTGAGCAGGGATTGTGAGCAGTGTGTTGCAACTTGTTTGATGGCAATGTGGGTTAGCTTTGTGTGTGGATCAGGGATGGAGTGTGAAGCTCAAAGATACAAGCAGCTCAACTATGCTGGACTCTGCATAGTAAGCAGGCAGTACCATATGTACAATATAAATAGTGCAGCTTAATTTTTAGTCTGTGTGGAACAAGCAGTGATTTATCATATTTGACCTAGCTATGGGGCAGCTTAAGGTTTTAAGAAGTTTTTAGCATTTTAGGAAGTGCTTCTGATAAGAAAATATTTACAGATTTGCAATTAAGACAAATCCAGATAAAACGACCTCTATTTGAGTCACAATGTTGGATAAATGTATGTAGGCTTTGGAAAGAGAAGAAAAAGTGTATAAAGAGTCATAAAATAAAGTTAATGCTTCAAAGAAAAGTGTAAAGTCTATAATGTGCCAGACTACAGATAGTCATAGATTAAAAGGAGTAAGAAAAATAAACCATGTAGAGAGGGACTATACACAGAGAGTCTGGGATAGGTATATTATTGTGTTATCTTTGAATTTTTGACTGTGAAAGAGCTAAGTACAGAGAGGCATTTCATTGTATGGACTGTTAAGTTAAACCAACATAAAGGTATCTTGATTTCAGAATTTGAGTCTAAGGATATGTAGTGTGGAAAAGAGGTTCTGTTCTGCTTTTGTTGTCACAGAAGATGAGAACATGTGGATTGCTTCCAGACCAATATGGTTTCATGGAACAAGACCCCCAGAAAGGTTGCCTTGCCGTGAACACTCTCAAAAAATTACTTTGCTAAACTGATGACTGAGATGAAGCTAGCACACAGGACACACCATAAAAGACCTGATGAACAGCATCCCCAATCAGCAGGAAGCAGTATGGAAAAAACTATGTTCATATTCCCAAATATTGTCTATAATTGCTTATTTCCATTTAAAGGGTGATATAATATAGATATGAATAAATTGCATTGGTATGGATCTTGGTTTCTTGATAAAAATTTAAGGTAAAGTCTGTTATAATATATATGCATATTTTTCCACTTTAGTAAGATATTGTCATAGTGTAGCTCATTTAAAAATATGATGTATAATTAAGAAATATATGTTAATAATCACCTATAATAGTCATACTTGTAGTCATGTTATTTAGATTTTCTAGATGTATAAAGATACATTTAAGTTAGATAGATATTCTCCAAATCTTTAAGAGACCTTCAGAATATGGCATTTAAAATGTTTAAAAACTTAAGACTTGAGACATATCTCTTTCTGGCCATACTAATCTACCACAAGAGGAAGATGGCCATTGAAGGGGCTCCTTATGGAATTGCTTAGCCATTTGGGTAACAAACTGCTTTTTCCTGGACTGCTGAACTGGACTTGCAGGACCCACAGAGAAATGACTGCTGAAATTACCTAAAGGGGAGAAGATCTTTTTGGGGTTCCTGTTTCTTGAAAGAGTCTGTGAGATATGTCATTGAAATTTCCTGCTTCATGGAAAAGTCTGCTGGATACTCTGGGCCTGTAGGCTGAAGATGGATACCCCAATGGTACAAAAGAACTTTGGGTGACTATCTAGGAAGTGAGATGTCTCTGTCAATCTGAGAGTTTTGGAAATTGTTTATAAAGCACTTCCTGTTTACATAGGTAATATTATATCCTTCTGATATCTTTGATGGAGTTGAAGAATTTATAGTTTTAGTTAGTTTTCCTTAGTTATAATAAAGAATAAAGTAAATATGAAAGTTGTAACTATAATTCTTGCTTGATATCTGTTTTGCTATATGTAATTTTACTATGATAAACTTAAAACCTTCCTTTTTATTTATACAGAAAAGGGGAAATGGTGTGGGAGGTCCTTCTGTCTCTGTGTTGCTTTTCTTGGTTAATGAATAAAGAAAGTGCCTTGACCTGTTGATAGGGTAGAACTTAGATAGACATGGAAGAAAGAACTGAATGCTGGGAGAAGGAAAGAGTCCTGGAGACATCATGGACCCATGGCCAGAGGTAGATATGCTGAAACTTTGCTGGTAGGCCACAACATCATGATGAATTACAGATTAATAGACATGGATTAAATTAAGATGTAAGAGTTAGCCAATAAGAAGCTAGAGCTAATGGGTCAAGCAGAGATTTAATGAATACATTTTCTGTGTGATTATTTCAGTGCTGGGCAGCTAGGACAATCAAGTGGTATCCTTGCACCATAGCCCTTCATGATACTTTCTTTAAATTATATACTATTGTTATCTCTATCTCTGCATGAGAAAGAAGCTAAAAGGAGTTTCTGATTACACATATTCACTTTTCCATGAAAAATAAATTCATTGTAAGGTGTGGTCTTTTCACTCAAATGTTGATCCAAATCTTTCTGCAAAAGAATACCTACCAGCAATATGTTCCTTAACATTTTTAATGAAATAGTTTGTTTTTAACTAATTCCAAATTAATAACTCTCTATGGACCTTGATAATTTAGCTTTTTTATTAATACAGATCATGGTATAAACATTCCCCCAAATATATCAGCCATAATTACTCAGAAAATCAATACTCTTTAAATTTCAGTTGAGTGACAAATAGATTGCACAACATTAAGAAGTACCTTTGGCATAGGATTCCTGCATCATGAAATTCAATTAACATCATCCAGATTGACATCAAATTGTAAAAGATTTATTTTACCACTTTCTCCATCCATCAACTCTTCTTCTATGTGACAGGAACATGCCCTGCATATTCCCAATTCCCTTGATGCAGTATAAGGGTATTCATTCTGTGTTTACTACTTAACCTCTATGTCTCAGAGTCCCTAATATTTAATGGTTAATAAAATTTGTCTCTCCCCTCCTTTCCTCTCTAACATTTTGGTGCCAAGAAACTACCTGTGTTTTTGCTTGAGTATACACATATACACAAACATAATTAAGTGTTTCATACTCTGAAAAGCTTTATGGAACACTAAACAAACTCATTCACTCCAATTCTTTCTTCTATCTCTACTCACATTACAGTCATATAATTTCATCAAACTTTCAAAATTTTGAATATGACAGCAACTAATTTTTAGAGAACTCTAAAATAATTTCAGAGGAAGAGGAAACAATAGAATGCTTCTGAAGGAAAAAATGTAAAGAGCAATTGGTGTGGTTATAATATAGTATCTTAAAATTAAAGGAATCAAAAGATTTTGTAATTTAAGTTAATGTCTGTCAAAAATATAATCCTCTCTCTGTTTATTTGGAACAGTCTGAAATCCATTTTTTCATTTCTTTCACATTCTGCTGATTTTTATTCTGTAACAATAT